AAAAAGTTTTCGATGCAAGCAGTTAATTGCGATCGTTCAGTTTATATGGCAGCCATATGCTATAGTAATTCAATATCGGCAGATCCGACAAATGACCAGCGTCTTAATGAGAAAAGGACGTATGCAAAATTTCAGATCGATATCTCAAAAACTGAGGGATTAGTTCGCTTATATACAGACGGACAGATGGACGGACGGAACGACGGGCATGGCTAAAACGACTCAGCTCATACCGCTGATCAATGAAATATATATTTTATAGGGTATCCGACTTTTCCTTCGTGGCAATCTTAATATACCCTATTCAAGGTATAAAAACAAAAATAAAAATAAATAAATAAAATAACACAAAATAAACAACGGAAGCCGCGAGTAAAAAGCAGGAAGTTAAAAGTTTCCTACAAAATGCGAAACAAACATGCAACAACAACGGGAAGAATATGTTAGCGAAGAAGAACACAAGCGCCAAACAACTAAGCCAAGTCTCCTAGGGTCCGAACAAAAACTGTGGGAAAAATTCCAACAAATTGCACAAGCCTGTATGTATATATATACATATGTGTGTCGCGTTGCGCGCCGGTGACTGCAACGATAGCCGCTCGGTTGGACAGGCAAAAGACTGACAGCTTAACGAAATTTGCTAACAAAACTGCCAGCGGCAGGCGATGCGCGCCGGAAGAGGCATCAATCAGTAGTCTGCCATGGACTTGGTCGCGATGCGTGAGAGAGCGACAACAAACAGCGAGCACAGTTTTATATGTTGGCGACATAACGGCAGTAGCGCGACAGTTGCCGAAAACGCCAAAAGCGGCGAATAGACAAAAAATTAATAATGATTGATTATTTTTGTTGCTGCAAGCCGCACAGTTTGCTGTCGTCACACCCCAGGCTCACGCGAATGCTGCTCCTCCGTGTTGTTGTGAGCTATGCCGCATATAACGATAGTATTTCACAGCTGTCCAATATGTGTCCGAAACTGTGTGACGAATAAATAAATTGAATTGACAAACGTCCAGTTCGTCAATCGGGCGTTTATAGCGCTTGAAGTGCTAGGAACGATGGGTAAGAGGGGAGGCAAGGGGACTAGGAGCAGTCTGGTGTAATAGAGCAGAAACGATACGCAAGCAGTGGAAACATTGTAGCCTAATAGTTTAAAATAAGTCGCCTCGCAAGTTGTTCAAAAGTTTTCATGGGTGTGTGTGTGTGTCTCTCTCTCTCTCTCTGTCCCTGGAAAAGCATATAGGAAGTGCAAGGAAATTATTTATAAAGCGACACACCAGTACATACATATGTCCGCATGTGCTGTGTGTGGCAAGTTTCTGCTTTGGCAAAAGTAAATTAAAAACTGACTTATTGAGTACGTGACTGATTGGTCTGCATTTGATTGGAAAAGCAGAGAAAAATATGCTCTTAGTTCGAGAATTTCAATGAAATTATTTTGACAGTACATTTACTGTAAAAATATGAATGAAAATATAGTATGGTAGAGAGAAAAAGGCAGTCGTAATTTAGGTCTACAATGAGTATTTATTCCTTATGCATATCACGCTTTCACTCAATCAAAGAGGAGTAGCTCCAATAGTTTATGTTCGCACAACAAACAAGGCTCACATAAATTATGATTTTATGATCATTTATGAGCGCTTTCTGTAATAACTTTTGTAAAAGCTTTTTGTTGATGCTCGAAAATTATAGATTCTTAAGGAATTGATTTCGAACTATAGCAAAATCTATTGTCTAGTGATGTTTCACTACGCAATGCCATTAAAAAGTTTCGCTATTTCAAACTGTCAACGAGTAGTTAAGCTTTTAAACTTTTATAGCGAAAATGTTACGTCTTAAAAGACAACTTTGTTCTTTAATTTCGGGCAAATGATAGACTACATATAATAACTAGTATCAAGTCACCGGTTGCACCGAAGCTAAAATAATATAAATAGAAAATTTTCCACACAGGAATTTGAGTTTGATCTGCAAAGTTCATTCAAAGATTGTAGCGTTATTTGGAATAATATTCTATGCCAAATTTCGTGAAGATATCTTGTGATATTAAAAAGTTTTCCATACCAACCGATATCGGCTGTTCCGACAAAATAGCAACTTCTTGGGAAAGAAAGGACATGTGCAAAAATTCAGATAGACATATCAAATACTGAGCGACTAGTTCGAGTATATACAGCTCATCACACTGATCATTTATATGTACAGGGTCTCTGACGCTTCCTTTTCGGTGTAACAAACTTCGTGCTAAACTTAATATACCCTGTTTAGGGTATAAATATTTGTTTTGGACTTGTGTATATATAAGGTTAATATAAAATGTGATAAATTTCTTTGTGAATATGACACAATTTCCCATTTGGGTTACACAAACAAAACTTAGTTTCATAAACAACACACGTTTTCTAGCGTCTTTACCACAACAAAGAGCTTCCACGCCTAAATGTATGTTTGTACATTTTTAATGCTCGTCTTCACTATGTTATCTATACGCATTCTATAGTCGTTAATATATTTTAAAGTGTTTCGTTTTTATTCACGCTTCATTACAAAGTTCAACAGCACTTCACCTGACTGCATAAAGCTTTTAAGCTGATTAAATGTGGCAGTCAATATGTAACTTGGTGTTACCGCAAAAGAATTGTAAACCGTAAAGGTGTACAAGTATTTTTATGGGTGGTGGCCAACAAAAACAAAAAATGTTTGTATATGTTGTGTTGATTTTTTTTTTTTAAGAAAATGTCATAAGAAGTTAATGCGGTTGACGGTTCCTATGCCTACGCCGTTGGAGTTAACCTATAGCCTACTAACAGGCTTTTACGTATAAGTACTTTTGTATACCAGCGATGAGTGAACCTGTTGACAGAGCTCTTTGAATCATTGTCAACATATAAGCTAAATGATTATAACTGATTAATCAGATGATGGTATGGTGAGTTATTGAGTATGAATATAAGGAATTATACAAATTTTTATTGTCTAAAAATATTGTTATATAATAGATACCCCTGCTTGGATATTGAAATAATTATTTTATGTATATATGTATATAATTCATACTCATATTAGGAGGAGCCAATATAAATAATAATGTCGAATTTATGGATTAAAAGACACCTAAATACAGAGCAAAATATCCTTCCGAGGCAAAAACAACCTGCTTTCATTGAAAATACCATATGTTTTAAACCGTTTAGGATAAAAATTTTTACAATGCGTATTCAAGTAGAGCATAAAGTTTCTTAAATAATGTACCTCATGTAACTTCTTTCAATTCAAAAGTTCGATTCGCTTCTTTTAAAAGTAAGCTAAAATTACTGCCTTGCAGAGATATTTTTTTCACTGTATATAGATTCAATTTAATAATATGAAATTTATTTTAGCTCACCCTAATACACGTATATAGATACAATTGTATAAAAAGATTTGTCCGTGCATATTTATATGCAATATTTATATTTAAATATACTTCTATGAAGAAGCACAGTCACTTCTATAAATACTCAAAATATTTGTTCCACGCATATGTACATAGAAACCCACACACACATGCGTATTAAATATATACACAAACAATTAAAAAGTTCATTTCAACAGTAAAATCTTGGCAGTGCAAAAGTTGGCAGAATATAAAGTTAAATTGCTCATTAGTAAAAGTAAAAGCTATTTATACACCCACTTGCATATATATAAATACAAACAAATGCATTACTATAAAATATGGTATATAAATATACATATGTATAATAAGTATGATACAGCATATAGGGCTCATTGCAGAAACCTTGCAAAATTAATTGAAAACTTAAAAAAAGGATTCTACAATCTTTGAAAAATTGATAATATTCAAACTGCTGTCCAACAACACTATTCAATCGTGCTTAACTGTAGAACATTTTTTTGAAAATTGAGAGTCTTTAAAGCGAGAGCAATGAGCAGCATTGTTTGCAAATTTAAAAGTATATTGGCACAAAAAAAATTCTTATTTCACAAATTTCAAAAATTCGAAAAATACAAAAATTTATTTTATAAACAGGTGGCAACACTACTTGATTTTTTTTTTAATTATAAACTTCCTTTATCAGACTTAATATTTATTTATCTTATCTCAAAATGAATTTATTAAACAGGTGGCAACTTTATTTAAAAATTATTGTTTTAAATGTAAATACCATTTCATCAGCTTGACTTTTCCAATGTTGAATTATCGAATTATTATTTTTAGTTCAATATTTTAAAAAAGGTGGCAACCCTCTTGCTCTCAAAACTTTGAAAACTACCCGAATATTACACGAAGTAATCCAAAAAGAAGTTTAAATCGGTTCGGACTTTACTAAAGTACATTCTGTATACTACAAGTGTGACGGAATGTTGTTGCGTAACACATTTTTGTTGCAATTGTTCGGACTTAAAATCACAGGTTTCTTTGGAGATGTTTGAAGTTAAGCGCTAGAATGGTAAGATCGCAAGAAAGTACAAAATTTGAGCTAGAATATTTTTTATCGGCGAGTCAATTATTTCAAAGAATATTGAATAAAAGTTTTTAACCTTAAATTTGTCGCCCAAAATGTCTTCTAAAAATATAAAGCTGCGTATTTCGAAGACTTATTTGCAAAAATGGCTTCTAGAGATATAAAGCGGACCAATTTGACCTACGTTGACTGGTTGTTCGTAGAATAAAATATCGCGGCAAAGAATTTTATACTTAGTTATAATAAAAATTACTGAAAATATAATATTTGAAACGCACATTGTTGCATCGAAGAGGTTTAGCTTCACTTATATCAGATTTAGGATATATTATATATACTATATAACCCAACACCAGTTGTAGAAATAAATATGGAGTTAACCAAATTTCATTTTCCTTTTTAGGGTTTTTAGTAATCTGACACACCCTGTTAAAATAAAAATATATACAATCGCAAAACATCTACTTCAATGCAATTAGTAGTATTTTCTTCAGATTACGCACAAAGCGTAGGAGCGCTTCTACATACCATAAGCAGATGCCGAAGCGTATTTCAAAGTAGCAGCGGGTGCGGCAGCGACATAACTATGCGAGAGTGCGGCAGGAGCGGCGGCGTAATGTCCATAGGCGGCGGGTGCAGTGGCAGCGGCGTAATGTCCATATGCGGCGGGTGCAGTGGCATACTGTATAGCTGGGGATTGATAGCTATAAGCCGGTGCTGGATAGCTGTAAGCAGGAGCGTGATAGCTCGCAGCCGGCGCAGCGTAGGTGATGCCATGCGCGAGAGCAGGTGCAGAATGCGCCAGAGCCAGTGCGGGTGCCGCGTAACCATGACTAATGGTGGCTGCCGGGGCAGTGTACGCATGCGCGGCGTAGGCGGTCGGCGCGGCATAAGCATGAGCGATGGGCGCAGCGGCAGCGATGACATGACCTTATTGTTTGCAATAGCGTTTTTTTATGTAAGCAGATTTGTAATAGCAGTGCGAAAGCAAGAGTACATATGTGCAAGAGTGCAGAAGAAGCATACGAGAGTGCAAAAGAATGTGTGAGTGCGAAATGTGTTGTAAATTCAGTTAAAGTGGTGTGAGTTGGTGCGAAATAAAACATTTTTTATATTAAATACTATTCTTAAATACACAACTTTTTTCGAGCCCTCCGCCCCACAATCCCCTATCACTTACCACCATGTGGCGCAAGACCGGCGTCATTGCTAATGCTCGAGCGTTGCACGTGCGATTGCGAATGCGCAGTTTGTACGGCGCTGGAGTACTCTGACTGCGAGGATTGTCCATAGTGACCCTTGACGGTGTGCTCTTGTGAGCTGCCCACGGAAGCGTGGTCCACGCTGGGCGCGGAGATGGAATAGGCCGCTGGGCCGCCGGGTCTGGCATGCGCGCAGGCAACCAATGCGGCAATAACGAAAATAACCTGGAACAGATAACACAAACAAACTGATAAAAACGCAATTAAAGCCAAAAATGAAGACAAATTAATTTACGAGGCATATTTTGAGGCGCACAGCGAGTAATATACTCCGCGCAAGTAATTAAAGCGCACATTTGGCGATATTAATTGTTGCAAACAGCACCTGCTTTACAGCCGTACAGACAGTTACAGTTACGAGCAGTGGCGCAGCACATAAACTACACACACTCTCTCGCCTGAGCAGCCGAGCATGAAGTTCAACTTTCTGGCGCGTCTTTTGTGTCTGCGTCGTAATGGGTAAACTTTTTCACTACCGCGGCGCTGCTGCACACCCACACACACTGGCTCATCGGGATTCCATACACCAACACACGCATGTGCAAGTGTATAATGTTTAAAGTTTTAATTAACATTGCGAAAAATCGGAAACCCGATAATGTTGCGTTGCCACCAGGTACAGCCTTGTTTCCACAACGACTTCATTACCACTGGATTTTTCATGAAAATAACAGTTAATTGTTGAATTCTAAGTGCGAGTAGCTTGCTATGTGTGCATCTAGATCAACATTAACTGCACAAGAATTCGGCGGTTCGTTATTAGTTGCATGTTTTTCCAGGAAATTGCGATACTCAAGTGCTGATACTCGCCAGCAGCAAAGTTTCAATACAAAAAAGTCTCCATTTGAGTTTCGGGTTGCGCTAAAGTTGATATTCGTATGAAAAATCATTTGGGTGAAAATGCGAAAAAGTTATCAGAAGCGGTGCGCTGAGGTGATATGCATTTCATATGCCAAAAATACGATTACATATAATAATATAAGCATCTATGCACGTTAGGGTGGTTTTTACAAGATTTAATTGAAATATGGAAATAATAAAGAAAAATCATTAACTTCAATTGTACCGAAAATATAATACCCTTCACAATTAAAAGAACTTAATTTTGAACGGTCAGTGTATGACAGCTATATGCTATATTGGTTCGATATCGTCCGTTTCGATAAAAGAGCAGTTTCTTGGTGAAAAATGGATGAGTGCACAGTTTCAGATTGATATCTCAAAAACTGAGCGACTATTTGACATAGGTATATACCGATAAATACAGACAGCCAAAAAAAAACTAATATCGAATTTATACGTTAAAATTAACAGATATACTTTTTTGACAAATCTACATTGTAAACGATATTTTCTAACTATTTTATTTTAATTGAATATAGGTTTTTTGTGAAATAGGAACATATAAACTTTTAAATAGACAAAATAAAAATATTTTGCTGTTATTTATATGGAAAACTTTGAATACTTACTCAAATAAATTTAAAATGAAGCCAAAAATCTTGCATTGCAGGTACATTGGTTTCTGTATATAGGTTAATTTTAACACTTAATTGTTTCAGGTTCACCATAATACCTATATACTTGTACCTGCAAATATGTACACTTATACATATTATATTTATTTCTTTTCCATATAATAATTGTCCTTCACGACGATTAAGGTTACTCATACGCCCTGCCTATCAAAATAACATCGTAACTTAAACTTAATTGAAAATTTAAATTGTGGTCTATGGAGAGCAGAGAAGTGTATGGAACGGCTTTTACCAATTTATATATAATTTATTTGTTTTATGATTGAGGATGCTGATTAATTACTGATTTATTTGAGAAAAAGTGGTTCCATTCTATAAACTTTTTGCTATTCTGAAACGCACTTAAAGATTTAGATCTCTCAGTTTTGGCTTCAATAAGGTCACAATCTCCACCAAGCCATAGTACGAAAACCAAACACCAGATATTATAGAAATTCAAAATCTGTACTACCGATTAGATATTCATATGTAGCACGGACCGGCTGATCGTGCTACTTCTATATATTTTTCGATTTGAATGAAAGTTCTTTCTCACCCGAAATCATTACTTAAGAAAATTAATGGATTTTTATCTTATTTTACAAATATACCACTTAGTTTTGAAGTTCTTTTTTTTGTCAAATAATATTTCTGGAGGCAATCGTAACAAGCGAGAATATACCATATGAAAATGGGGAGAATATTGCTGAAGGTGGAGAAGTAAATGCATTCTCAGATGATGATAATTGATGCAGATTTTGTAGTGGTGGCATCATAGGACAATTTTTAATGTATTTCTTAAGCGATTTCTATAAAACGGTGGTCTGATCCAATAATTTTTTGACGGCGGTAGAAGATAAAAACCACTGATCACAACCAAAAAAATGTCATAATTATAATTAACTTATGTTTCCATTTGAAGACTAAGCTCTTTTATGTTCTTAAACATCATTACCGACACAAAAGTTAAACTGTGTTGCAGCTCAGATTATTATGAATGTTATGTGGCAAATAAAATTATTTTATGCTTGAAATTTTTGTTATTTTTGTGAGTTAATATGTATTTTTTCATATAAAAAAAATTTAGTTTAAGATTTATTATTGTCAATTACTGTAAATTATCTTAGCAATGTATGTTTAAGCATAGCAAAAAGATTTTAGACATAATTGAATTCCTAACCAAGAAGTGAAAGCATTCATACTTAAAAAATATGAATAAAAGATTTACCGAAGTCACCAATACACAATTTATTCATAACCGAAATCTGAATTTTTGAAAAGAATAAATATTGTTGAAAATCGCACAATTTTGTATAAGCAAAATTCACATCAAAATAATATATGCCAACTTTAAACGAGTAAAATTTTTCAAGTGAAGCAATCCAAGGCTATGAGTGTATGCAAAATATGCACACAAAACTGAACTAGTGCATCATTTAGTATGTATGAGTGTGTGTATTTGCATTAAAGTGTCAACGTTTCGCACACAACTATAAACACTAACATCTCGACAACACTTCTTCACTGCACCGTTTTGACATTTTTTGTTTTTGTTGTTGCAAAAATTTACTGAATTTGTTGGTGTGTTTATTTATTCGCTACACTCATTCTTGCAGAGTGACAATAAAGGTAAGTCAGTACTAGCATATAATATTATATATGCATAAATATATACTGTACATAACTGTATTAAGTGTAATTTTTGTAGCTGATTGGACTGGAAAATTTAATGTCATCCGTTTACTACCAGTTGGATTTAACTTGTATAAATTTAAGAATTTCTACTTCTCTTGTTTCAATTCTCTGTGTTCAACACCAGCTATTCATATATAAAGAGGTACGTTATCATCTCACTTGTTGAATAAAAAGCATACAAACTCATAAATAACAATTTGGTTCAATATGTATTCAAGCCAAATGTTTTATATAGGTGGCAATCCTGTTCAAATATATTTTTCACCTATATTTCTTAAAACGTTTCAGTTTTTTATCTTAATTGTATATACTAATTTGCTTCTTTCATCTGATTTAATGATTATTTTTATTACTTTTTAATAGACGACAATGCTCCACAAAAATATAATATTTGTGAGATGTAAGCTTTCTTAAATCAGTTTAGTTCGATATTTATATTATATCTGATAATTCGCTTTTCTTATCTAAGTTATTCATTATTATTATTTTTAAATAGATGGCAACGCTTAAAAAAATTTGACTTTTCCAAGGATTTAAATTATTGTATTTAAAATAAAACCTGTTTAGGTTGACGCTCGTTTATACATTTCAATTATGTCAATATTTCAATAATTGAATATTAAAATTGAATAAAAAAAATTAATAAGGTGGCAGCCTTGCACAGGAATACTGTATGTTATAAGTTTTCTTAAATTGCTTTAGGTTGATATTGTTCTACCATAATAATTTGCTTTTTAAAATATAATTAATTGATTATTATTATTTTCAAATAGATGGCAACGGTTCATAAAAATATTTGTGACAGAATTTTTCTTAAACTTGTCCTGTTTGCATACATTTTAATTATGTTAATATTTCAATTATAAATAAAAAATAAATAGGTGGCAACCCTGCCAAAATATTTTTAGCTATAAGCATTCTAAAATCGCTTTAGTATTATATCTATATTGTAACTAGCAATTCGCTCTTCTCATCTAGTTTATTTATTATTGTTATGTTCAAATAGATGGCAACGCTACAAAAATATATATGACAAAATCTTTCTTAAACTTGCTAAGCTTAACAAATTTTTATATATTTCTTTTAATTAATTTAAAAAAAATAACAGGTGACAACCTTGTACAAAAATATGATCGGTTATACGATTCCTTAAGTCACTTTAGTTAACGTCCATTTGATAATCTTATTGATATATTTTCATAACTTATCAGTTTTTTTCACTTAAAATATTCAAACAGGTGGCAAGCATTTCACTCTTTTATTAAAAAGTACCCAAGAGCTCTACCGGTTAGTTAAAAAAAAAAATAGATCTGAAAACTAATAATACGAGCCCTAACAAAATTATTAAAAAAGTTGCACTACTAAACTTATTCCCCTCTAAGGGATCTCTAAGTGACAGTAGTAAGATTCTTTAATTAGAAAATCACTCACGAGCGCAGCTGCTTCGTTGCAGCTAAAAATATTCAACATGCGATTAACTGGTACATGAATTGACTTAAGCCCGTGACGCAGAAGAAGAAGAGATAACTGCGCTTGCATTGACTTAAAGCACTGCGATGGTAAACAAAGGGAGAAAGAAGCAAGCAGAATTTACTCAGAATGAAATACGGAAAGATGCCGCGATTACGACACAGAAAATGGCTGAACTTGCGAGTAAACATCTCAAAATAAACTTTCGCCAAACAGCCGGCGAGTGAGTGAGCGGAGAAAGAGTGGAAAAAAATGTGTGAAAACTTTTACGAAAACAACAACACACGGATTGAAGAAAACAACTGCAGGGAAGCGCGTTCGCTGACTTCGGAAACTGTTAAAGGATTTATAACGAAGCAAGGGCAACAACATAAACAACCACATTATTGTATAAATGTATGTGTGTTCGTTTGCAGTTACAAAGTTTTTCTCGTTTGAAGTACACTTTTCTTGGCTTTTTGATTTAAAATCTTCAATGGAAAATTTTTAGCCTGCCGCATTGACTTTATCAAAAGAGTTATGGATGTATGTTATGAGTATATATGGGAATATATTTTGATATAGGCAGGCTTTGTAAACTACTATTTCAAGAAAATTTAACTCGTTTGAGCGATGCAATATCAAAAACTTTTACTCGAAGTAGTTGAAAAAGTATCCATAAAAAAGTATTTCGAAATAAAAAAAAAACTTTTTAAGGGCACTATTAATACACAAATTAAGCACATTTTTTTATTAAATTAACTTTTTTTAATAGATAAAAAGTATTATTTACTAAAATTATAAATTTATACATATATATTCTTTTTTTACTAAAATTTATTTTAATTTTTTTACTTTTCTTATTTAGGTCGAATTCAAAAAACTTATTATATTAAGAGATATTAAGTTTGCCACGATGTTTGTAACACCGGAAAAGAAATGTCAGAGACCCTATAAAGTATATACATATGTAAATGATCAGCATGACGAGCTGAGTCGATTTAACCCTGTCCGTCTGTCCGTCCGTCTGCCATACAACAAACAAACTTACCGATCAAAGTTTTTGTAAGGAATCTTGTGTTTTATTTATAATTTGTAATTTAGTTGAATTCCTATGGCAACCTTGCTTTTGTTCTAATATGTTTTCAGCTTTAGCTATGACTTCAGAAAGTTGTGAAATTTTGATTTACGCTTCGCCAAAATTTTAGCGAATTCCCATTCGCGCTTGAATCGCCAGTTTAAGCCCATGAAATGTATTTTATATAAAGCAAATCCAAATATTCATATAAGAATATATATTTTTATATAATTATAGAAGTGTGTGTGTCGTAGTGTATTTTTAACTTTGCGAAAAACTTTTCCGCTACTTATTATATTCTGCTCGTATCCTTACATTTCCACAAACGCATACTTTTTCTGAAAAATGCACTTTGTAGCAAAAGGAGTGCATAAGAATTAAAGAATTTAAAATATTCCATGTGTATAAGGAAGAGAAAGTAAAGATGAAGGGTGAGCACAAAACTTTGAGAATGAAAAAGAAGAGACTGAAATTTAAGTAAGTATTTTTCATGCGAAGACATTATTTTTTTTTTATAAAATATGTGTGAAATAAATATGAAATAATCCAATAATGCTTTGTAAGGTGGTTGCGATGTTACGCAGCGATTCATATAAAATACATTAACTCAATTGAGGCGTTTTCTTAATTTTGCCACTAAAGCGTCGATGTTCTTTTAATATTTTAAGTAACAAAAAAAATAAATTTAATTTATAGCTTTAAAGATGCTGGTCTCTTAAGCAGAGCAATCTACTGTCCAATTAATAGTTTTAAGATAAACAAGAATATATATTGTAGTGAGGACACAAATATGGCATTTTCTGACAAATTGTTCCTAAAGAAATACATAGGTCAACATACGAAAAATTCAAATTGTAAAATTTAAGCTACTGAGCAATGATAAATTTCTGTGAAGTAGTTGAAGCGAGTATATGTTTCAATGGATGAGTACTAAACTAAATTTCGGCAAGAGAAAAATAATTAAGTGAAGAAACTACCCAAAAAGCATCAAAATTTTTTTAAAAATTTCAGGAACGAAAAATCGTAGAATAAAGTAAAGTAGTTACAAAAAGTCAAAGGGCATAAAATTAATTAAGTAGATTTTGTAACATAAGGGATCCATGATAAAAACCTATCGAAAAAAGCAGGATGATATTTTTGTTGTAAACATGCAGGTTTTATTCAAACTACGATCTGACTAACGGTGATACGTTTTAAAAATCTTAGAAATTCAAGCCTTAAGAACCGTCAAGGAAATTATAGACAGTAAAAAATATTTTACAAAATTACATTACACTTTTAAAATCCCCGACTCGTATTCGTAAAATTTTGCAATATTTTTTCAAGCCTTTCACAACGTAAAACATTTTTTGTTCTCGATTTAACCCTACCTCCGAAGAATAGAAATGATTCTATTCTAACCCAAGTTCTATAGCGTTCTGAAAAGTTCAGTTGTCTTCGATGATGATTTGCATCCGTTGGGAGGAAAATGTAAAATATGTAAATTAGGTATATTTAGTTGATAAACTCCCGGCTCTAAAAAAAGCATAACGAAAATGTACTAAATCTCTCAAAAACGTCTATGACAAGATAATATATATAATAAACAGATGAAACTAAGATCAATAAAATAAATCTGTTGAAAATAGATTTATTCTTCTGTGAGTAATTATAGTATATGGAGATTTTTTTGCAGTTATAGAAAGGGCTCTATTGTCCACGTCAAAGAGGAACGGAAGCGATAAAAAATATTTGCAAATTTAATAAGGGACGAATATTAAGTCTAAAATACCTCGAATCACACAATTTTAGACATCCAGCTAAAATAGCGGAAATAGAAATAAAGAACCTATAAAAGTTCTGTGATAGGTTCAAGATGCTTTGTCGATGGTTAATATCCAACTACAAGAGTTTTCATCTAGCTTCACATAGGACTGTATTTATCGATCTACATGTAATCCGCATTAGTCATCTAACCTAACCTAACATAACCTAAAGCAATATTAAGCATTTACTTTTCTTACCATTCGTTGGATTTTAAGTAGATTTATAGACTTCATCACACCGTTATACTTGTAGTCATGAAAAATTTATGCATAAAAATGAAAACTTGAGTTTTGAATTCTCCACTACAGAGCCTTGAGCCGGAATACAATAGAAAATGTATGAAACTGTGAAAAAACTCAAAAGTTTTGCTGAAAATCCAGCAACAAATATTAAATATTGAGCACATTCGGTAAAAAAAAGCACCAGAACCGAGCCTTGAACCCAACAAAGCACTTGTAAGGCGCTTATAGCCAAAAAAAACATAAAAATATAACAGAAAACAAACAATATTCCAAAAACACTTTCATATGAGTTGCTCAAACCTTAGCGTGTCCTTTTTTAGGCACAACTTCAATATATTCAAAAAAAAAATTATATATCCTTCCAAGTCTTCTTTAAAAGTCCTTTATGCTAACATTAAACAACAACAAAAAACCACACTTTCACTTGCATACCCTGAAAGCCATTTTATATATTTTGTTTACGAAACTGCTGTGCTGCTTTACGAACGTGTAATTAAATTACGAAAAAATACACTGACAACTTTTGACGGGCGAGTTGTGCTTAACTTTGTTGGCAACACTTGGGCACTTCGGCAAACGATTTGCGGTGATCAAACGTTTCAAAACGCACTAAAACTGTTTCAATTTCGTATTCTTTGCGTTTATTTATACGCTTGGCCATAAGTTGTGGCAGCAACAGCCGTCGTCGCCTTAGCTGCGCAACAACAACAATAAACATATTATAGTATAACAACATCTAAAATATTGGAAACTGTATCTGTGGCAGCCAAACGGGTTTATTGTTTTCAGTTATTTTTCTTTTAGTTTTCCGGTGCAAAATTCAAAGCAACGCGTAAGCTGCGTCGCGCTACAAATCTGCAACAGCAGGCAACATTTGCCGCGCAAAGTTAATAAGAGCAGCAGAGCCGAAAAATCGACAACAACAAAAACAACAATTGTACTTATTTCCAGCGGCCACAATGCAGCCACAACGGCGCCGCCATCGCTGCATCATCGGCAGTGCTTGACTTAACGTCACTTTGTGGACTTTAAGTTTTTTATCTTTATATTGCAGTTTTTCGTTTTTCATGGCCTTATATTTCACTCCTAAATGTGTTGGATAACAAGGTAAATTTTTCGGCTTGTTTAGGCTTAAAATTCTGAGTGCCACAGCTCAACAAAGTAAAGTATATGCAAAATAATTCCACTACTCTTCCCAGGTTCTGAAAATGTTGAAGCAAGATATTTAGATACCACTGATATTTGTAAATATTCTGGTTCTCTATTATTGATTCTTTAGTGAATCTAGTCTTCTTCAGTGAAATAGCCTTCTACGCCAGTTAATTCGTACGTTAAAGGCAATAATAAGGTCTTAAAGTCTTCCTGAGCATTTTTCTATTGGTTCAGTCAGAATATTACTTTTTTTCGTTTAATTTATTTACAAAAATATTAGACTGTTTCATTCAAGTTATATTTACAAACGTCTCTAAATAGTTTTAATTATTTTTAAATTGAGAACTATATTTTGGAATATTTATGTATCACTTTTTGACTAGTTTGAAGAAAATTATTGACCAAATTGTCAATGGTAGCCCTGCTAAAATGAAGAAATATATTTCTAAAACTTGCTTAGAGATTCGAATTTTGACAGTTTTTCTTATAATTATCACTATAATCTTTGCTGTCAAGCTTCAGAAATTAATTCATATAGACGGAGTCTGTAGTCTAGTAGCCTGTTCATAAGTTCATCAGTGTAATAGATAATTTCTTCAGAACGACAATACCAATTCGACTGATTATTTTATGTTTTGTCCGGTTTTGTCAAATAAAGGTTTCTGAGTAAGATTATTTTAGGAATTATACTGACAAACTCAGAAAGTTAAGCGAACTTATATATCTCTAACTCCCGCAAATCGCAATGCAAATATTGAGGACCAATCTCAACCGAACAAATATTCCTCGAAGTTTTCTATGAATACAAACCATATACCCACATCTACGACGATTCAGGTTTGAGAAAATGCCTGTGAACGTCCAGATGCAGCATGTACTTTTGGAAGTTGTTCCAGCTTTTGAATTTTAGGTATTGTCTGAAACATGTATTACTTTCAATATAAGTCTAGCACCACGATTCCCGAAATATAAGCAGTATTGCATTCCTCCAATAATGTAGTTACCTTTAGTCCAATCGTAGTTCTAGGTTTCTCTAAAAATTTAAGCAGGTACCTAGAGAGACTTGGAAGTTATCGCTCGGAAAAATGTTTTATTAGCGTCTTCAGCCTTTAATCAAGATCTTCTACTCAGAATTTGTGAGGCACCCTACTAAACGTAATTCCAAGCGCATGCTCAGCATGGTCTGTAGACCATACCTGGCTGAATTGAGTGAGAATTATTCATAATACATAACCAAATACCAACTTTGTTAATTTACAAGAGTTTCATTTAAATTAATTTTATTAATTTCAGTTAAGAGAAAGAATCATAGCAGAAAATAGTGTATGAGACATCTTATAGAGACAGTTAGCTAAGTTTTTCTTGTACTCGGCTTTTATTCACATTAAGAGGCTTCTGCAAACATTAAGTTGCTTCTAAAATCGAATGGATGACTAATGAAATAATCTTTTGGTCAGTAAGTAGTTAGAAGCTTCATACACTGATAGCATTATGTTTGTTATGTGCTATCGACTTTAGCTTTAAAGCTACAACAAATTGTGCTCCGCATAAGAACCACAAAAGGGATAATAACATCAGAGCATCTTTCGAAATTATTGTTAAATTACTTACTAGATATTTCGTCCAGTTTTCTTTGCTCCACATTACTCGAGAAGTTTAAGATGCCTCTGCAAAGCTGATGAATTTGTTGAGGCATTTTTCCGGCTCAGTAATAAATAAAGCTTCATATCATCATTATAATATTTTTGTCGTCTTGCTATCATCTTTTTAAAGTTTTACCAAACTAATCAATTTCGGCTTCGCATGAGAGTGGGTAAAGGCAGAATAATGTGGAGATTCATTGGAAAATATTGCTTCAGTTATCTTTTGCTTTTGCTCCTTATTAAGAGAGAGCCTGCAAGCCTTAAGTTACCTCCAAGAGGCTGATGGATTTCTAGATTCTTCGATTCTCAAGCAAATTATTCAATATTTGAAAATCACACAATTGCTTGAAATACATGATAACGTATTCATATTTCCGATTTCACAGCTACTCATTCGAAATAGAGCGAATTAAGCACCATTTAACCAGCATAACCACTTTAATAATCTATACATTAATATATATGTAAATATCTTTGTATGTAAATGCAGCCAATTTCAAAATTTTTCCACCGCCCAAATATGCTTGTTTGCTACGTAAACTTTTGATATCAAATTGTGACACAAGTTTTTCAAACAACACAACAGAGCAGCAGAAGAGATAAAACGAAAAAGGATCAATTACAACAACAACAACATCGTAGGCAAAGTGCATTGCAAATTCGCACAACCTCCATCAATTCCGCGCCTTCAGCAGCTGCCTTATCCTGCCTTTTGCACGCTTTAACTTCTAAACTTTGCTGGCAGCTGCTCGCTGTCGAACTTTTTCGTCTTTTTGTACAATTTTGCGCACACACACAAATACGATCGCATTGTATGCAAAATCTGACAAAAACCGCACATTACTTGTAGGCCTAAAATTTGGACGGCCTCACAGCGCCTCACGGCTCGCTGCCTGTTGAGCCCACAAATCGGCGGTCGCACTTAGCATCGTCGGTTTATCGCTATGTTTGACTTTGTTTGCTGTTAGTCGCCGGGTTCGTTGAGTGCCGCCGCTACTTGCGGAGCGACATTTATTATTATTTGAAACTTCAAACTTTTTAGGTGGACCACGAGCCACGTTGCGGCGTGCAGGTAAACACGCAGACAAGAATTTATGTATTTATTCATGCAGTTACATGTGTATTGTTGTGTTGCGTGTTTTCTGTGACAATTTCGTAAAGTTTGTCGTCGAAACGGTGCGCGGCAAGCGTATGGGCGAACGGGTGAGCGGTGAACCGCAGCGCTGCTGAATGCAATGCACCATAAGTGTCAAACTGCAAATTGGATTTGATGAAAATACACACACACTACACACACATATGCATATATTATATTTGTAATTGGTGTACTTCAGTGGATCTAAACACTCAAGTGGTGCCATTGTAAGCTTCGAGAATGGAAATTTTCTGCAAATTGGGTAGGCTCGGTATTACAGCAAGGGACATAGAGATAGAGGCGGTTGCTTTTGTTATTGGTGGTTCGTTCTTATATAGTTTGGTTTGATTTTATTAGTTTTGATATCAATTTCAACATTTTGCCGTTGCAAAACATACGTATATTAGGTACTTTGAGCTACAAAGAAGGTGAAAAAGGTCGTTAAATGATAACTAATATAATATATTGCTAATTTGTAACAGAGCGGCATCATACAAATAACCAGCTCTACAAGGTGCAGTTCTGCTGACGGAGATGTGCCAACGACATGTTTTGTTGTATTGTAGTGGCAAAACATTAACTAAATAATTTTGAGATACACTTGTTGACAGCACTAACTAAACTTATTTAATTTTAATTAATTTAGTTTTGAGTTTAATTCATTAATTTTAATTAATTAATTAATTTTAAAAATTAAAGTTAAAATTAAAAATAATAAAATAAAGTTAAATTAATTTTAAAATTAAAGTTTAAAATTAATTAATTAGTCAGAATTAAATTTTAAACTATTTTTAACTCAACAATTATTTGAAAAATTAAATTAAATACATTTCTTTATATACTAACTTTTAGATTAAGTTTATTAACTTATAAAAATTTATTAATTAGTTACATTTAGCAATTTATGGTATATTCGCTAATTTTCGTTAATTTAATCGAATTAATAATTTGAATAAAATTTTAATTAATAGTTAAAATTTAATTATTCCAACAAAATTAATTAATTTAAATAAAATATAATGAGAAAAACATAACCGCAGTTGCAACTTTCACAAATACTAAAGATTCTTACAAAACTTCATTTTGATCGTTCAGTTTGTATGGCAGCTATATGCTATAGTGGTCCGATATCATGTTCCGGCAAATGAGCAGCTTCTTAGTGAGAAATGACGTGTACAAATTTCAGACTGATATCTTAAAACTACGTATATATACAGACGGACAAACAGACGGGCATGCTTAATCGACTTGCTCTCACGCTGATCATTTATATGTATACTTCTAGGTCTCTGACGTTTCGCAAACATCGTGGCAAACTAAGTATACTCTCTTCAGATAAGAAGATGATTTGGGGATTGCTGCTACTATTGTCTGGGTTACTAATAGCTGGGTCACGAACTAATTTTGAATTTGAGTTCAAGAAAATTACTGCTATGTGTATGTTGAGATAATTTTCTTTATTATGAATTTTATTTATAGGAATTTATAACCAGACTGTTTTCATTTGCTAACACACTCGGCTCTTTATTAAAAACAATATTTTCGAGAGTTCTAAATAAAAGTAATTTTATCTTGAAGTCAATATTCGAAACAAAATAAAATTTTAGATTTTAAAGTGCAGACCATTTTGACCACTTATAGTAACTGTCGTATGACTTGACGGGAAGTATAATAT